ATATTATTTTTCTGTATAATTTATTTTATTTATTGTACATAGAGTGTGAATCTCTGAACACTATTATAAATTTCCTTGAGACAAATTGTAATATTTTTCAATAAATAAGTTTTAAAAAAAAAAAAAAATTAGGTACTAAAAACTTGTAAATACACATTCGCTTTCTACTTCGATCGTAAGATAATTTGATCACAAAATAGAGGAAAAATGTGGCCCTCAAAAATATTGAGCCTTTGGGCGTGACCTACATCCCCAAATTTTCAAAATAAGGAGGTTATATAGGACATATAACCTAATTATTAGAAATCACATGGGTATTTACGAGTTTTTATTACCTAATTAAATAGGCAAATTGTTTGCCCACTCTAGATTGGAAACGTCCCAATTCCAAGAGTTTTCATAAATATAATAGTTGTAGGTTACGATGAGATGAAGCTATTTACGAAGTTTCAGGCGGATGTTAATAATTCGATAAAAATGGGTTCTGTACCACGGACTACTAATTTTTAAAGAACATATATATAAAATTATTTTTATATGTAGTAATATATTGCTCGTTTTACAATGGCTGTGCTGGTTATAATAACTATCACTTATTATAATTTTTATACATAATATAAACTCCAAAAACTTTTGTGAGGAGGGGTCCACTCCCCCCCACCAAACAGAATGAAAAGTCTGCTGCAATGCTCAGTAGCGAGCTGTTTTAGAGCATTTCTGAAAATGAATGGTTGCTACGATACCACACGCGTTAGTGGAAAGATAAACAGTAATCATAAAGACAATAAATTAATAAAAATTTAATTAATTACTGCAACATCATCGTTGAAGCATGAACTCTTGTGCCGTTATGCATTTCACCTTGCACGTACTTAGCTATATATTAATTCACATATAGCGCTTGATTGTGCGGAAGAAATGGGAACGCGCCATTAATTTTAATGCTCACGTACAGCTGTTAATAAATGATGCGCAGTGATAAATGGAATAAAGAAGAGAAAGTTGATTTCTCTTTTAATAACTTCGTTGGCCGACAACAGGTGAGATGACAACTTGGCTATTTGAGATAGATATCTACCATTTCTTATCCTCAACCGCCATCTAGATATCTGGCTTTCGAATGTTTAACTTTAATCTTCGTCACTTTTAGTTCGCTGCACAGATCTCTTTTTATCAAACTTATTCAATGACTTCATAATATCATAATCTAAGTTTTTTATCAAGGGAAATTTCTATCAATGGAGTGTTTTCTCGTTAAAGTAGTTAATTTTGCTTAAAGTTTCATTGAAAGCAGTGACACCACTTCCGCTAAAAAAAGCACATCCTTGTTAACAAAAAGCACAAAAGTAAATGAAATTGAAAATATATTATTTGAAATCAATAAAAATAAAATATTATTGTACTCAAGAGGAAGAAAAAATGCATAACATCTGCAAAGGCACCTTGATTGATTGAGCACTGGTGTAATAACTGACGTATTAAAGTAAATGAATCTAAATGCCAACATATTACCTTTACACTCCGACGCAATTTCTGTCCACCAGTACTCTTTAATTCCATCAAGCTTCCTTACTCAGACACAGTCCGATATCTTGGTTTCATTTAGACCGAAGACTAATGTGGAACCCACATACTAGACTCAAAAGACAAGAACTCAACCGACGACACGGCTAGCTATACAGAAAATCCAAACTTTCTATTGAAAACAAATTACTTATCTACAAGACAGTACTGAAACCCATATGGACATACGGACTTGAACTGTGGGGAACAGCAAAATTGTCTAACATCATACGTATTCATTCCTTTCAATCTAAAGTCCTTCGAACAATAGTTGATGCTCCGTTCTATGCAACTAACAAAACCCTTCGCCACGACCTTAATATCCCATTTGTCCTAGACCTTATCCCAGAAAAATTCTCCAAACTTCACCAGAACCTTACCTATCATCCAAATGCCCTTGCACAATCTCTGTCCAACACCACCCATCCTTACAATCCTCCTCGAAGGTTGAAGCGGCAGTGGCCCAGAGACCTTTTGTGAATAAGAATATATTGGAGTTTTGGCAATGGCAAGATCCTCCACTCAAGCCAAGTATTTCTGATTATAGCGCCTCTCCTCAGCCTCTACTGTTTCTTAATACCAGTAAGCGGCTCAGTGCGAGGCGCTGGGATCACCTAGAGTCCTGCCTTTCCTTGCTCGAGTGGGGAGAAAGGCTTGGCTCGGAGTTCTCCTGAGTGAATGGATTCTGTACATATTGTGTATAGTATAGATGTGTTTTAATTCTTATTTTAATTAGTTTAGTTCTTTTGTTTATATACATTTACTTTTATTATTATTAGTTTCGGTATTATTTTTTTTTATTTATTGTGAATAATTACGCATATATTTAAATTAAAGCAGATAATTACGAAAAAATAACGTAATGATGAAGTATTAAATGAAAGAATGAAAAATAAATCATCTGTTTCTTAAGTCATTAAAAATAATTTCGCACTTAAATCGTTACATAAAACTGATTGCCGTCAAATCAGTCAATTGTATCATGGAATTGTTGAATGGAAATAAGAAAGAAAAAATTATAAATATATAAAATTACGAATCAATCTCTTCACGAATCACTTCCTCAGTGATTAATCATTATCGATTGACGAGCTAAATCATACTACTTATTTGAAGTTATTTGCTGTATAAAGAAAGTATAATGAACACGTTACATACCTCTTTGTAATTCCAAGCAATTGCAAATTCCTCGTGGGAAGGAGCAAGATTTCAGTTTGTAAACTTCAGGTCATCCTGATTCCTCCTCTCTCTAAATAGAATAATAATTTTTTTCATTGGTCCATTTTTGTTCTATGTACGATCTGAGCCGAATACTTAAATAATCACAATATATTCTACTTTTTTTTTAAATCTATTTATTGAGCATTACAACAATCTGTCACTTGGACATTAGTTATAGTGAGGTAGAATAACATTCACACTATATGTACAAAACATATAAAATAAATAGAAGCAAAATAATTCTACTTAAATAAATTACATTACTTGTGCTTCAGGTACTAATTTTTGATACAGAAATCTTTTTATCAAATTAAAAAAATACGCCTAAAACTTCCTGAATGGCTTCATCTAATAATCTTATTATTTTTTTTCTCTTTTCTCAGAAATGGGGAATTTTATTATTGAATTAATTAATTTGACGAGGTACTAAAAAATCATTAATACTCATTTGTTTTCCACTTTAATCATAAGATAATTTAATCTCAAACTCGATAAAAAGTGTGGACTTCAAAAATCTTGGGTCACTTAGCCTATACAGGGTATCTCAGTTCTTTATTGCCAAACTCTGAGGGGGGAGGGAGGGAGATTCTAGATACAATTTTTTTAAAAAAGTTCATTTGATTCATGTGCCGATTCCGAACAAAAAAGGAGTCTTAATTTCTTGTGTGGTCTCGTTTTTTATTGAATATAAAAGAAATGCGCAAAAACTCTTCAAGATGAAATTGCAAGTACACCACCATACAGTAGACAAACTTTTATTTCGAGAAAACAGTGATTAAATTTACTAAGGTCAAAGATAAAATTGACTTTCAGGTCTAATACTGTTGCAGTTATAGGGCCCATACATGAGCAGCATACCTCTGTACAGACGTATCAGACCCCCTGAAATTCTCTTTTATCATTGACCTTAGTAAATTTAATCACTGTTTTCTTTAAAAAATTTGGTCTACTTTACGGTGGTCTAGTTAGAATTTTATTATCTTGAACAATGTTTGAGCAATTTCTGCTCATTCAATAACAAACGTGACCATACAAAATTGGACTTCAAATGATGGCATCAAATGAACTTTTTTGTTGGAAATTTGGTCTAAAATTATTCCCCACAGTTTGGAAATTGAGAACTGAAACCGTATTTGACCTTCTGAAAGTCCCTTTTATTATTAACCTTAGTAAATTTAATAACAATAATAATAACAATGCTTTATTTATTCTGGAACTAGTCCCTTTAGAATAATACAGAAAGACAATAATATGGGCTAAGGAGCCTTAGAAATACATAAACAAAAATATAGAGTATTTAAATAGTCAAAATAAAAAAAAATAATAGAAGAAGTTATAAGTTACTTACTAATTAAGATCAGTTAATAATAAAAAGTAATAAATTGAAAATAAACATGAAATAAAAATAATGAAGAACGATCTAATAATTTATATACATATTTACAGTAGTAACTATTTACAATTTTATGGGGACTGGATGGATAAGAAATGATTGAACAGGCGGGATTTAAAGGTAGGAAGGGTTTTGGATTGACGGATGTGGGGAGGGAAAGAGTTCTATAGTGATGAGGATCGGATAGTGAAAGATCTGTCGAAAGCAGCGGTTCGGTGGGCCCTTATTTATAAATCAGAAGAGCAGGAACGAGTATTGCGGGAACGAACAGAGGATTTGAATTGAAGGAGCTCGGAGATGTATGAAGGACGGTGGGATTGGATGACTTGAAAATGGAAGGGTGCCAGGAAATACTTGCGACGGTAGGAAGGATTTAAGAAGGAATTTAATCATTGTTTTCTCGAAAAAAAAAAATGTTTGTCTACGATGGTGTACTTAGAATTTTATTATCGTGAACAGTTTTTTAACAAGTCCTTCTCATTCAATAAAAAAACGTGACCACAAGTGTTGCCCAAAGTCAGTCTTGGTCTTGCACTTAGCAACAAACAAAACATCGCTTTTGTGAATAAAAAAGTTTTAGGTAACTAAAAGCGATTCACGAAGTATTAGACTATGTTAATAATTTGATTAAAAGGGTTCTGTACCGGAAGCTAGAATAACTGCAAGCAGATGGCATATGTAAAGTGATTGGATTGGTTTATTAATGTTTACCTTTTGTTTGGTCCTTTCGTATGTAAATATATGTCCGCAAAAAACATGCTAAGTTCAGTGATTCTCATTCCATGCCCCATATCCAACTGCTGATAGAAAGTGTTGGCTGAAGATGAGAACTGTAAATAACAAGATGCAGGCAGATACTGCTCTTCACCGTGAGAACTCAACAACAATTCTCAGCAGTTCAATCGACCGTATTCGGTGTATTGAGCTGTGCACTTAACGTGCTAAGTATTTAGCAAATACACACATTCATATTCACCACTAGCTATCTACACCACGCAAAATAAATTTGGATTACACGTGCATGTTTCTTACTCGTGATAAAGTACATTTAAATTAGTTAATTAATTATTACTCTTGAGTTCGTAAAAAAAAAATTATATTTTTTTGTTAGTTTCTATTGATGTTTAATCTGCTCGTCATTATCTCGATTTCTTCCTTAAACATAAAAGTTGTGTAAACTATACTCATATTTTTATATTCCAGCTTAAATTACTTTTGTTCTAACTGAAGGTAAGTATTGTTCTCGCTAACTCCAAACAAACTAAAAGTTGAATTTTTCAAATGAATCTTTTGTTCCATCTAATACAAGTGAAAACATACCCATTAAATATATAATGCTACTGTTAGTGAAAAATATCATACATGAAATGTTACCATTTATATTCTACTTGTGCTAAAGGTGACTTTTAGTAGTCTGTAACTAATATAAGTAGTCTGCTACTATAGAATATGACTTTGACATAAATCTAAGATTTCATTCTCATAGAAAAATTTATAAACCTTGAAATATAGGTATTGTTTATCCAATCAAAACGGCGAGGAAGCTATACTGACCTTACTTGGTAGACTTTTTTTTATCTTTTATCTCTTTTAAACACTGCAAATAATAATACAAAGCGCCTTTAGAAGATCGTTGTTTCTAGCGTAGAACTGAGTCTTTTTCCTAATCCTTTAAAGCATATTCCAGTCACGGAAGGGATGCTATTGTCATCCTCATGAATAAACTGAAAGGTAAGGAACGTCCTTCCGAATCTAGGACTACAGCCATCCAGTTCCGTATCCTGCGGGAGGATTCCAAGCAGGATATACAACGGAGAAAGTCAGCCGTCATCGAGATTGGCGTTGAAGCAGGAATGAGGTCGTACGTTACCCACGGCTCTTAACCTATCCTAACCAAACCTAGTCTTCTTAAGTATAGAGTTTTATTGAGATCTGTCTAACCTGAGAGGCTTGAAGAGGTACTTTGATGTATCGTTGTGTAACTGCGGCTTATACTTTACGAAAACCAACTTTTAAAAAAAGAAAGAAAAAAAAATACCTGTACCACTACAACCCTGTACCCCGAAGAGTTTTGGGTTCATTTCTTAGAAAGGAAGTACATGTTTCTAGTGCCAGCGTATCCAGGATTTAATTTTTTTTTTTTATACCATTAGTTAATCTTAAAGAAAAAACAAGAAGCTATACAAAATGATATTGAAGTGGTCCTTGAGAGCCTTTTAAAAAATAATAATAAACAGATTTAATAAAGGAAAAATAATCATTTCGAGATAAATTTCCTTGAAAAGTATTTCGATTTATCAGCTGTATTTGCGTTATAGATAGATAGATAGAAAAAAAAACTTTATTCTAGGACGAAGTCCCTTTAGAATAACAAAATTGTACAAAAAGAAAAGACTACTACTGGCTTAAAAGTTTGAAACAATAAATAAATGAACAAGTAAAGAAAACCTTAAGTGAACAAGCTGTATACGAAATAGATAAAACTATGCACAAAAAACTCAAAACTATGAATAAAACATTTAAAACTATATATAATGGTAGAACAGCATAAATATACACTTAAAGAAATGAAGAACGAAAAAGAGACAAAATAGAATAACTTCTTTTAATAAAAAAAACTTTAATTGTATATAAAAAAAAGTTAGTAATAATTGAATAAAAAAAAAATTGATATATTGAGTGGCGTCGGAAGTAGGAATACATGTATTATACCTAACAAACAACAGTATTATCATATGATTATATGATTGCTATGTAATACATACATAATGCCAATAGTTAGCAGCTATCTGCCTGTTTTTGGAATAGGAGGTTTTTGAATGTGGGGGGGCATGCCAAATTTTGATAGGGAGCGATTTCTAGAAGTTGACAGAGCGGGCTACAAAGGAGTTTTGGAATGATGCAGATTTAATTTAAAAATAATACATATCGTATTTGTTTTTGTATTATTCTCAGATTATTCATTTAAACGAATATAGTCCAATAAAAAAAAAATATTTTTTGGGTGACTTTAGCCCGAAAATCTCAGTGGATCCACCAGTGCAAGGAGGTGATTGGTTCGAGATCCCGCTCAACCATCATGTTTCCCCCCTTAATTAATTAAAGTTACTCACTTAATATGAGCTGGATGTGCCTCAGCAGTGTTTACCGATCTCCAACTTTGATCCATGGCTGATGGAACAGAATAAATAATTATCTGCTACAGCTGTACTCGAACCTGGATCCTTGAGAATAGGATCCCGGTCCCTTATTCATTCAGTTACCCATCTTCCAAAAAAAGAATTTATACAAATAAAAAAATTAATAGAACTTTATTTTTATAGTATAAATCAATAAAATGAATTATCGATTCTTAATTAATGAGATATTAGTTATTCCTTTACTTCATATCGTTAAACATATATTGTATTACTGACCATTTCATGAAAGACGGAGATTAATTATTTATTTATGCGGAGGAGTTAGTCGAGGGTGCGGTCAAATAAATAAAAAATTAAAATATATTAATTATTTTAATTTTTGCCGACGTTTCGACCCACTTTGCAGGTCGTCTTCAGGACTACAAAAGATACAAAACATGTTGAAAATAAAAAATAAATATAAGTATAAGTAAATATAAAATAATTTTATTTATTTATTTATTTATTTATTTTATTATTAATTAATTTATTAATTTATTTTCAACATGTTTTGTATCTTTTTTAGCCCTGAAGACGACCTACAAAGTGGGTCGAAACGTCGGCAAAAATTAAAATAATTAATATATTATAATTTTTTATTTATTTGACCGTACCCTCGACTAACTCCTTCTCATATTAACGGTCAACCATCTCTACATAATTATTTATTTACTTTAAAAACATATATACTCTGTAGGTATGGATTTAATTAAATAATCTTGGATATTGATTCGAGAGTAAAGTTATGAATGAAAGTGCATTTTCAAGTTTTATTTTCAGAATGTTGATTCCATTCAATGAAATGAATACTAATACTATGCTGAATCATTATGAATTGAAATCTGATAGTTTAATTTGAAACCATTCAGTTTTAATATTCAGTTACTGTCTTTGAACGAAAAATTTAATAATTTTATCTAGCAAGGAGGATATGATACAATATATCACTGATAATAATTTTTTTACATCACTTAAACTGTAAGAAAGAAGTTAATCTTTCTATACAACTCCAGTAAAGAAGCTTAACTTAAGAAAGATATTCATGGATTCTAAGCGTAATAGATGAGACCTTAGGGACGAATATGAGAAAAAAACACTACCTAAAAAGAAGTACAATGGCTTATAGAAGGATATTTCCGGCTTTGAGATTATTCGAATAAATAATTTATTTAAGGATTTAAAATAATTTTAATGTTGTACTATTCAATAAAGGACTATGTCTCACCTTCTTTAGCTTGAATATATTATAGCGTAGTAGTAGATATATTTTAAACAAATATTTATATTTTTATAATTGTGTGTAAATGGTTGACTGTCGTGATTAATGAAGAGAAGAATAGTTGGGGTGATCAGTCAAATAAGAAGGCAAAAATAAATGATAATATTTATTTTGACATTTACCGACGTTTCGACCTGAAGTTCAGGCCTCCATTGTTATCTGGTTCTTTCCTTAGCCCTGATGAAGGCCTGAACTTCAGGTCGAAACGTCGGCAAATGTCAAAATAAATATTATCATTTATTTTTGCCTTCTTATTTGACTGATCACCCCAACTATTCTTCTCCTCATTATATTTTTATAGTTTTGATCATTTTTCTTCTCTGGGTTACAAAACCATTGTTTCTCTCCAAACCAAACACCATTTAACCTTTTCTATTTAAAATGTTCCTTGAAAATTATTTTTTTTCAAAAGCGCCCCAATTTGAGTTCTTAGCCACAATTTTTTTTTTAAATACTATTTATGTGTGAGCTTATTGCTAAAATGTCATTATACATTTTTACATGGAATACATTTTTGATGGAGCAGAACATTTTTGTGAATTTTAACTTTATTTATTTATCAAATATAGTTACAATAAGTACAAAATGTTCTGATTTCACAGAGCGAAAATTCATCTAAGTTCGAAAAATAGTATAGAATTTCTTATTTCTTTTTGTTATTTTTTTTTTTTTGGAGGAGGAGGTTGTTATTACTATTGAAATAGAAAATTAAGTTTTTCATGTTTCTTGAAAATTTCCTGAGTCGATGATGATTGGAAATAAATGGCTCCTTTGAAATATATATATATATATATATATATATATATATATTATATATATATATATATATATATATATATATATATATATATATATATATATATATGGGGTATACTGATAATTATAAACAAATAGATAAAAAGTAATTTGTATGCAATTACAATTTTCCATAAAACCTTATATTCACATTCTAAAGGTAGAAATAATAAAGCCCATGTTCTATGAAGTTTGTTTTTAGTTTATCTTAAAAGTAATATTTTGTTTATATATAAAAATATTTTTATTTTGTATTGTTTTTAGCATAGTAACAGGTTCATATAACTATTATTATGCAGAAATCGTTTTTTTTTTTTTTTTAATTTCTATTATTATTGTAAAACCCATTCTACACGTAAAATATTGTAAATTTTATTTATTTTTAAATTATATGTATATAACTTATAAAACCATATTATTCTACAATTGCCAAGCTAGGCTCTATTTGTATGGTGGACACCCCAAAAACAAATAAATTTCTATCTATCTATCTATCTAAAGTTGAAAATAATAATGTCAAAAGTAACTAGGTTTGACATTAGTATAAGTATTATAGTAACTAACTAGAGCAGAGAAATAAGCTGTGAGCTTTCAGTCCACCGTAACTGCTGGAAGAGACCCTCAGCTAGCTCTGGAATGTTAATGCCCATGCAACCTGGAGAAATCGCCGCCTGTGTATGTGTCATTAGGGAGGTAACTGGGTCGCTATATTTTCACTTAATCAAGAGGAAACTAACGATAGTTATATATTTGTATTATTTTTTTATTTAAACAAATACATAAATTTGATAGGCTTGCAAAGGTTTGAAATATTCAAATCTGTCCTGAAAGAGTTTAAGGATAGAAGTTAATTTAGAAAGTCTCTTGGCCACCGCCTTAGAACTCGTCGTGGTGGGATGTACGGGTTCTTGGTGGAGTGTTTGGGCTAATGGGTTCATGTTGTAAGTCAGTCTTTGGTGGCAGTTTTTACAGTATGTGTTACAGTATCTGATACCATTTGGATGTCCAAGTCCTTCAAGCAATTGATCACATACAACGTCCGTTATAAAAAAAAATCGTATGTTTGTATATAAATTCATCAATTTATATACAAACATACGATTTTTGAAAGAATCGGTACATATTACAGAACATACGTTTTATGTAATATACGGCATAAAGTCTGTCTAATAATAGAAAATCTATAAACTCCAATACTGGACCGAACTCTATAGGATAAAATCCTGTCAGACACAGAGAATCATTAACGGAGACTCAAATCAACATCAAGGAAAAATACTCATAATAATGTACATTAAAAGAATAATTAAAGTTATAATTTCATAATTAAAGCACATTTGAACAATCACAACTTGCAATAAATACAGACAAGAAACCAAATGTGTCTTTTGGTGCACAAAAACGTAAAAGGTCAAAAAAAATTTTCGATTCTGAATACAAAATATTTTTAAAGTGAAAACATCTTAATTCGCATTTTGAACTTTTTTTTGTGATTATCCCAACCATCCTTCTCTTCCGTTATTATTATTGTTAAGTTTTTATAAAAATAAATAAAATATATTTTGCATATAATATGTTGTAAAAATGAAAATTTATTGTATGAGGTTTGTTGACCGAATCAATTATAGAA